GAACGGCAGTTCCAGAGGCTGCCTGAGACCTGGAACTCCAGGTGTGTGGTGCATGCAGGGACCACCAGGTTAGAGAGGCAGCAGCCACGCGGTGTGAGGCGTTTGTGTAGCCTGTGCGGAGAGGAGAGAACAGGGATAGGCAGAGGCATAGCTGAATGGCTACAATAATGCAGAGGAGATCGGAATGAAATGAACTAAACATCTGGGAAAGGAGAGAGCGGGGCCTCCCTCACCACAACTCCCAAATATAACTCTCCCAACTTCCACCTCAGAAACTATAATTGTTTCACTGAAACACCCGAATAAAACTCTCCCAACTTCCACTTTAGAAATTAGAATTGTTGTAAACTACAGCGGTTCAATGTTTCAAGGAATAGACTCAACTTACTTTATTCAGCTAGCTAACTATGACGCCATAGCTAACTAGCATGCTAGCATCCAATAACACACGGTTTAGCACCAATACTTGGTTACAACAAACTACCAATAGTGTGTTAACACACTAAACAGATAATTCGTGTCCGTGTCTAGTTCCTTTCATAACGCAGCAATAATTAAACGTTGGCTAGCTAGCACAAAGATATTGTATTTAGCTGCTACAGTACTGCTAGCTGGTAGTGTTGGCTAGCTAGCAATGGCTGCTGTGTTGACTTTGTTTGAAAAACGGCGTCGCTGCGAACGAATGTCGCTGGCTAAAATTATATTGTATTTAGTTGCTATAGTACTGCTAGCTGGTAGCGTTGGCTAGCTAGCAATGGCTGCGGTGATGACTTTGTTTGATAAAACGGCGTCGCTGCGAACGAATGTAGCTGGCTAAAAGGATATTGCATTTAGTTGCTACAGTACTGCAAGCTGGTAGCTGGTAGTGTTGGCTAGCTAGCAATGGCTGCGGTGTTGACTTTGTTTGAAAAACGGCGTCGCTGCGAACGATCAAGATAGACTTCATGTAATAAAAGTCTATCTTGATTCAACAAAAACTCTGGAAGAACTTTTGATTGTTAACAAGTATAGTGATAATTATCCACGACATATTTAAGAAAAAAATATGAAGTGACAGTTTCATCAGAACGTGCTTAAAGAAAGTCATATCACAAAGATCACAGATGACAGTGCCCACCAAGTCTATGACAATAGATAATTAATTGTAAGCACCCATTTAAAGTGTGTTTTGTCAAAATATGATCTGTAAATGTCAGTTGTTGAACATAATACTTCTATTTGCCATACCAATTTATGATATATGCAGTTGATGAGTATTCCATGTACCAACACTACATGTAGGATGGACATTCCCACATACAGTATACACATACAAAGAGGCACATTTCAGCTATGTTTTTACCACTCATAATCCAGAACAGATATGACAATGGGGCCAGAACAGGACCTAATAAACCCTTACAACAATCTACTTTTTTGACTTCTTATCTGGTAAACTGCTACTATGTGTCAAGAAAGAGCCCCAATTAGGGGTTAGTGTACTCCAGTAAAAAAGGGCTGGTTTAGATTAGAAACTATTGCCTCTGGTCATAGGGGCATGAGAGACTAGTCAGTAGTAGAATTGAGTTGGCACTTTATTGGTCCAAACACACACAGAACCACAAGGTTGAGGTCACTCATGGACAGTAAATAGTGAACAATGTTTTTTTTTCTCCATATTGATACATTGTCTACTAACTGTCCAAGAATAGGATTCAAAGCGTTAGGAAATATTTGTTCCCATAAATACAAAGGAGGATGTCTCTCCTCATACCTCTGGCACATTAGTCAGACTGCCAGACATTCTGAACCATGGTTGAGGTCAGTAGGTCACATGACCAATAAGCTATTTAAATTAGACTGTAAAAATGTGACTTTGTTTATGCTCCCTAACTAATTCAACTAGGAATATGGAATGCTGCTCACATTTCCACATGTTTATTAGGTTTGGAAAGCAAATTAATGTCCATATCGTGAAAATAAGACCTGTGCAATGGTGTGTGCAATTTTTCCAACATCATGACACTTTGGAGTCTGTGGCTCAAGTGGTTTGAAAGCTATTGAGGTTTGAAAGCGCAAATACAGTGGGGAAAAAAAGTATTTAGTCAGCCACCAATTGTGCAAGTTCTCCCACTTAAAAAGATGAGAGAGGCCTGTAATTTTCATCATAGGTACACGTCAACTATGACAGACAAAAGGAGAATTTTTTTCTCCAGAAAATCACATTGTAGGATTTTTTATGAATTTATTTGCAAATTATGGTGGAAAATAAGTATTTGGTCAATAACAACAGTTTCTCAATACTTTGTTATATACCCTTTGTTGGCAATGACACAGGTCAAACGTTTTTTGTAAGTCTTCACAAGGTTTTCACACACTGTTGCTGGTATTTTGGCCCATTCCTCCATGCAGATCTCCTCTAGAGCAGTGATGTTTTGGGGCTGTCGCTGGGCAACACGGACTTTCAACTCCCTCCAAAGATTTTCTATGGGGTTGAGATCTGGAGACTGGCTAGGCCACTCCAGGACTTCTTACGAAGCCACTCCTTCATTGCCCGGGCGGTGTGTTTGGGATCATTGTCATGCTGAAAGACCCAGCCACGTTTCATCTTCAATGCCCTTGCTGATGGAAGGTTTTCACTCAAAATCTCACGATACATGGCCCCATTCATTCTTTCCTTTACACGGATCAGTCGTCCTGGTCCCTTTGCAGAAAAACAGCCCCAAAGCATGATGTTTCCACCCCCATGCTTCACAGTAGGTATGGATGCAACTCAGCATTATTTGTCCTCCAAACACGACGAGTTGAGTTTTTACCAAAAAGTTCTATTTTGGTTTCATCTGACCATATGACTTTCTCCCAATCCTCTTCTGGATCATCCAAATGCACTCTAGCAAACTTCAGACGGGCCTGGACATGTACTGGCTTAAGCAGGGGGACACGTCTCGCACTGCAGGATTTGAGTCCCTGGCGGCGTAGTGTGTTACTGATGGTAGGCTTTGTTACTTTGGTCCCAGCTCTCTGCAGGTCATTCACTAGGTCCCCCTGTGTGGTTCTGGGATTTTTGCTCACCGTTCTTGTGATCATTTTGACCCCACGGGTGAGATCTTGCGTGGAGCCCCAGATCGAGGGAGATTATCAGTGGTCTTGTATGTCTTCCATTTCCTAATAATTGCTCCCACAGTTGATTTCTTCAAACCAAGCTGCTTACCTATTGCAGATTCAGTCTTCCCAGCCTGGTGCAGGTCTACAATTTTGTTTCTGGTGTCCTTTGACAGCTCTTTGGTCTTGGCCATAGTGGAGTTTGGAGTGTGACTGTTTGAGGTTGTGGACAGGTGTCTTTTATACTGATAACACGTTCAAACAGGTGCCATTAATACAGGTAACGAGTGGAGGACAGAGGAGCCTCTTAAAGAAGAAGTTACAGGTCTGTGAGAGCCAGAAATCTTGCTTGTTTGTAGGTGACCAAATACTTATTTTCCACCATAATTTGCAAATAAATTCATAAAAAATCCTACAATGTGATTTTCTGGATTTTTTTCCCTCAATTTGTCTGTCATAGTTGGCGTGTACCTATGATGAAAATTACAGGCCTCTCTCATCTTTTTAAGTGGGAGAACTTGCACAATTGGTGGCTGACTAAATACTTTTTTTCCCCACTGTACCTGTGATCTTAGACAGGAAACACCCCCCCCCCCCCCCCCCCCCTAGGGCTGAGAGTGAGGACTTGTGTATTCTTGATATGGCTCATTCTAATATCTCTGCTACTGTAGATCACATTTTAGTTACACTGTTTCACTGTTAGGTTCTGAACAATGGAATGAATAGGCTCCATTGTTATCTTAACCGTTTAACCATTGTCATTTATTCACTTCAAGGTTGCGTCTCTGCATCACAAGGCTAGAGACAGTTGTTGTGTGGTCAATTGTCATAATAATAATTAGCCTGAGACAAGTTACCTTGGTTTAATCCTGAGAAAGGGCCTTGGATATCAACAATGCCATATTATACACCAAACAGATGTGGAGGGTCCAACACCCTCCTGATTCCTCTGGAGAGTCAACCTGACCTGAGGTGGAACTCTCCTCCTGCCCAGACTAGTATTTGTGGGGCACAGGCTCCTCTTGTATGGGTGTGTACTATGTTGATGGTGTTAGTTGACTGTGACTTGTGCGTGGCTCTCTAACTTTCAACCCATAATGTCTGAACTGGCAGTCACATGTCCTAAACATGTTTCAGAGTTGCGGTGTATGTTAGAAAAATCTATAACTTGGTTGATGGATAACCATTGCATAGTTTTCACAACTGTTTCTCTCTTTTTTTTCTCCAGAATTGACCTCTCACAATTCAACTATTGAGGATGGTGCCCCATATGCTTGAAATGCTGCCCAGCTCAATGTGCTGGGACAGATAGGGCTGACACAACATGGATAACACTTGGAGCGATGGTGACGGATGCAGCCGCCATAATATGGCTCACTGGGAATGTGCTCCACCTGCTGGTGAAAGACAGTACCTTACCCAATGGGAAAGGGAACACCAGTGGCTGAAGCATGAGGAAGAAGCTGCCATGCGGGCCCACTACAACTCCTATAGACAAATCTCTCAAACGGACTTCCATGGACATTGGGCACAAGAGACCCAGCCGCCTCCACTGTATCATCAGGACCATCACAGAATGGCTCAGAGTCAGAACATAGGGGATTGGCCCAATCTCTATGGACCCTTGAGAGGCCAGGCACCCCCTAATGTAACCTTACACCGCAGTGGAGCTAGAACAGAAACATGGGCTAATTATGAACCCCACCTCCCCAGCTATGAGTTTTTGCCCCCACTCATTGTTGAAAGAGGGCATGAGGATATTTCACTTCATCATAACGTTGACCGTGATTATATGGTTGGTCGGGTAGTGAATCATAACAATCTCCATTACTTGGTAGGCAAATGGCAGATGTTCAATTCCACCCATTCCAATGGACATTCTAGAGGACATTTTAATGAACATTCAAGGGGACATTCTAATGAATGCTCAAGAGGATGTTCTAGGGGTGGCTCTAGTGAACATTCTAGGGATGGTTCTAGTGGACGTTCGAGGGGTGGTTCTAGTGGACGATCTATGGGTGGTTCTAGTGGACGATCTAGGGGTGGCTCTAGTGGACGATCTAGGGGTGGTTCTAGTGGACGATCTAGGGGTGGTTCTAGTGGACGATCTAGGGGTGGTTCTAGTGGACGATCTAGGGGTGGTTCTAGTGGACGATCTAGGGGTGGTTCTAGTGGACGATCTAGGGGTGGCTCTAGTGGATGTTCTAGGGCCCATTCCAGCAGGTCTCCCAGGCTGGACTTCCAGGCTAAGCATGTCAACCCTTCTCAAACTACGACCAACACTTCTCCAGACATTCAGCACGCCAACATCAATCCAACTGCTCCTGTGGTCAACAACAAACACAGTGAAACAACATCAGGACGAACAGCAGGTCCTGTGAGAGATTCTACATCACTTGTGCAGGCCTTCACTGCGACTGCACAGCAGTGTGTTTCTATGGATCTCCCTTCCACGGGAGGTAGAGAATCTGGTGTCATTGACCTAAAAGCAGCCCAGGTAACAAATGCAGACACCCATGGTATACTAGGACCTAGTGTTCCTTCCCAAGCCATAACACAACAAACCAATAATCTTTCTGTCAATGCTGCTCTGGTTTCTCACACCCAGACCTCTTCCACCCCTGAACAGCAACATACTCCCTCTCCTTCTCCCAAACCTCTCACTGAGACACCTCAGAACAAACCATCTCATAAACATAAGACCTCACTCAATGAAATACAGGACTGGCTCCAGAGTGTTTTAAGATCTAAAAATGGACCCGTAAATGGGAACAACTCTACACAAGACCCCTCTCAGTCCCAACAATCCAGCACAGAGAAGATGGCTGTTTTACAAGCAGGCAATACGCACCGACATCAAAACACCAAAGATGACCAGGCGAGGCCCCCTGAGAGATTTAGTGCTGAGGACTCCACTGTACGGCTAAAGATTGAGTCCACCCCCAGGTGTATGACCCTGACGGCAGTCGCCACCACTCCGCCTCCCGTGGCTATCGTCGCTCCAATGGGTCCACAGCAGTCCCCAGAGCCCATGGAGACAGAGAATGCAGGCAATGAGGTGCCATTTAAGATTTTACATGCCTGGTCCATCAACGAACAACAGGCGGAAAGCCTGTGGGAAAGCGCTAAAGATGATGCAAGTTCTCGATCTGTCCTAAATGAGACAGTTCAAGTTGAGAGTGTTATGGAGTGTGATAAGCCTGTAGATGCATCTGCAACAAGTTTACTGGCATCTACTGGAGAGGACAATGGGGTCCTTCTGGCCAAGAGTTCACCTTCACCATTTGTCCACACCAACCCTCAGGCAACTGATATTGTACGCATTTGTGGTACCCAGACAATTGTGGACATTAGCTCCAATGGCGCAGATGAGAGAACTCTTGATTTGTCCACAATTTCTGAAGTTCAGTTCAAGTTAACTACGCTGCAACAACTGGTTAGTTATCTGGAGAGTGCAGCAACAGTCACAGATGCAAAGGATGGTTGTCTAAAGGCCATATTGGAGCGGTATTGGGGCGGGGATACCTCTAACCTGGTAAAAGCTTTAAAAGATAAAAGGGATGAGAAAATAATGCAGGATGTGTCTGCCTGGGCCGTAGAGGATGAGAAGGCAGTGGTTGTCTTTGCAGTCAGTGGTATATCACTGGGGGAAGTGGTCGAGAACTTTCCCATTCCAGCACATGTTGACAGCTCTTCCCACATGGGTTACAGGTCATCATGGTTAAATGTCAACGAGAAGCTGTATGACATTGACAAAGAATCTGGAAGAGCTTGGTCTGTGTGGTTTATACCAGATAAAGCAGAGGAGAGTTCCAAAGTGGTTGGGGGAGTCAAAATGAATGACACCTTCCACAGCAAGATGGAGACTGTGGACTTGCCTGCCCGACAACCTGTTGAAGCAGAAGCATTAGACTCAGACCTCGCAACAAACACAGCCCTCATGATGGACGCAGACCCCCCAAAAGACACAGACCTCCCAAAAGATGCAGACTCAGAGACACAACCCCTTTCCCCAATGATTTTGACCGTCCTTACATCAGAGGATGCTGTGAGACTGCTTGCTGAAACAGAGGCATCAGAAGCAGAGCTCACAACAGACTCAAACTGCCCAACAGATGCAGACCTCAACACCGTCACAGACCTCACAACAGACTCGGACAAAGACCTCCTTTCCCCAATGAATTTGACCATCCTGACATCTGAGGATGCCATGAGACTGTTTTGCCAGATTGAAAATGGCTCTGACCTCCAACTCTGGTCCCCTGAACCATGCGCTGAAAACAAAGATAAGACCCAGACCAAGCAACTAAAGAATATAGTAATTGGCAGCTTAGATAAGTCCTGCTACTGTCCTTGTATTATTGAAACTGACAATGGGTTTGAAAGTGGCCTATGCTCCAGTTGTCAGAGAGAGAAAGGATTGCAGAAAGGTACAAGATGCATAACAATCTCTCACTGCCTTACCCTGTCGGATACAAGCGAAAATTCAGATCAGGAGACAGAAGCAACAGACTCAGACCTCGCAACAAACACAGCCCTCATGATGGACGCAGACCCCCCAACAGACTCATACCTCCCAAGAGACGCATACTCAGAGACAGAACCCCTTTCTCCAATGATTTTGACCGTCCTCACATCAGAGGATGCTGTGAGACTGCTTGCTGAAACAGACTCTGGGGGGAAGGCGACTGTGGACAATCAATGCAGGGACAAGAAGCAGATGCAATCAACTGAAGAAGAGGGTGATGACAATCAATTCAGTGACATTAAAACAGAGGGAGAAATGCAGCAATGTACAAACTTCATACCGATCACTGACTTTTTTTTCTGGTCAGACACAAGTGAGGATTCAGATCAGGAGACAGAGGAGAACCCTAATGAACAACATGCTCAGATTGAGGCTCATGCTTCTAATGTTAAAAGGATGGAGCCTGAAACTGATGCCAAAGAACCATGTGAGTCAGCCCAAGAACATACTACCCACAGAAAAGTCAGTCCTAGTTCTGAGGATAGGGAAAGATGGCAAGAGAAGGACCAAGACTGTAGGATGAGTACATCACCACTTCCCAAGGTTGAAACCCCCTCAAAATTAAGAGCTAACATCATAGCAGACAACTGGTGTTCACCTATAGAGGACTGTGGTTCACCTGTAGATAAGTATGACAAAGTTGCAGACTTTTTCACCCAATACAAAACCTGCAAGTCAAAGAAAAAAATATATATGTATATGGAAAAGGAGAATACCCTCCATCCAAAGTCATCTGATAGACAAAAGCTCAAGAAAAGCCATGGGAGAGCAGAGAGGAGACGGTCACCATCCCAACCCCCTAAGAGCTCTGGGGTGAAGGCAACTGTGAATAATCAACGCAGGGACAAGAAGCCACATGCGTCACACAAGAGGAGACATTCGACTAAGAGTGATAAAAATCAATGCAAAGACAAGAAGAGGGGATCATCAACTGAGAAAGAGAGCAAGAACAATCAAAGTAGGGACAAGAAGAGGAGACCTTCAATTGAAAAAGTGGGTGAGGGCAGTCAATCTAGGGACAAGATATCACAGAAGAGGAGAACTTCAACTGAAACTGAAGGCAGGAACTCTGGTGACTCCAAAGAGTTGCAGTGCCAGTTGGTGGAAAGAGAGAGGGACCACGGCAGTGCGTTTCCACTGCCGCGCCCTGGGGTGAAAACCCTCCATGTGCAGGGATCCTCAACTACCACCGTTCCTCTCAAACTCACCATAAATGTCCCCAAAAATCCTTCCACAAACTGCTCACCCTCCAAACATACTGAGGACGTCCCCAAAATGCCAAAGGAACAGCCAAAGACTAAAGTCCCGAACAAAAGACACTGCTCCCCTGCAAAGTCAGTGTCTCCTGTTGTCAAAGAGCGGCAGAGGAACGGCATCAAACACAAGCAAATAATTCAACGCCTGAAAGTCAGATTGGAAAAGTTGTCCTTATCCAAACATCTTGTCAGGAAAGGTTCCCCACCAAGGCTGAAGAGGGTGGAGGATAGAGAAGTCCCTGGGGGTTTAGGGGTAAAGGTTTCTAAGAATCCTGACTCGTCCATGAAACTAAAACATAAGGCAGAGAGCGACTTGACATCCCAACAGAAGTTGACAAAGATTCCGAAGGTGTTGAATAGGAATGAGAAAGGATGGTTTTCAAAAAGCGAGTGTGAGAACGACTCGCCGCCCGCCAAGCCAAAGCTGCCAAGGATTCCCAAGCTTCCGAGGACTCCAGAGGTTTCAAAGGATGGGAAAGAGGGAGAGAACAGAGAAGAGACATCTCCCAGTCCTTCACCTGAATCACAAACGCTGAACAAACCTGCAAGAGTGGCACACAAGCCAAAACCTTTTATCAAGCCTGCCAGTCCCAATGGTAATAGCCCAGGTAGTCATGCATGCCCTAATCCGGCTAGGGTATCACCGCTATATGGCGATGGTCATTTTGGGGCAAAAGTCTCTGCGAGGCAGCAGGTGTTCTCTGATTGGGAGAGTAGCTTTGTCCCGACGCCAACCCCCCGGACTCGCAGACGATCAGGGTGTCCTCCAGAGGAAGTGGAAGGTCCACAGGCCAGTCCCAGGTCCAGCTCTGAGACCAGGATCATCCAACCCATTCTAAAACATGTCGATGCTCCGCCAAAACCCAAGCGGAACATCAGCTTCGCTTTGAATCCAAGGACGGTGCACTACTTCAAGCCCTGTGAATATGAAAATGACGTCATGTTCAACAGGTCTTACATGGATCCTGAAGATGCACAGCATTCTAACGAGGAAGAGGAAGATGCTCCTGTGAACTGCCAGAACACGAAGGAACAGACCCCTGTTAGGGAAGAGAAGCGGCAAGATATAGGGGAGCTGAAGCCTGGACCAAGCGGTGCATGTGAAAAGAGCTTCAAAAGGAAACGTAAAATACATGAGCCTGCTGCCATTTTGATGAAGAAGAGCATTGTTCAGGCAAACCATTGGATGAAGTGTCTCCATCGTGAACCTCCGAAAGACTCCAGACACTCGGGTAAGGACACCAATCACAAGCCACTGTCAAACGAATATGGTATGTATTCCCTCAAAGTTTTTGTGTAATATGTATAGCTATCATTGGCATGAAAAACGAACACACTACCGGTCAATATTTAGATACATTTTATTGGATTTCCAGTCATTGACAAGTTCTTCTGGTTACAGCAAAAACAACTAGAGTTGGTTACAAGTGGTCAGAGGAGCAGAAGACGAGGCCAAATTAAATTGAAGGTAAGTCGCAGGCTATGCTAGCCTCACATGGTAGGCTACTTTTACAATTGCACCAATGATTTCCCAGTATTTCAAACAAAGTTGTATATGTATTTTTCTTTAAAAAATGTCAGATGTACACAGTTTGATGTTGGGTTCTGATTGGAATCATCTAGAGCAGGGTTTCCCAAAGTCGGTGTTGTAATGAGTTTCTGGTATCGAGAAGTTCAGGATGCAATAGAATATGGGACACAGACGGAGAGTTCATACAAATATTTAATAGGTACGGTACCGTGATTCGTCTAACAAACGGTACATACTTTGCCTCTTGTCATTCCAACTCTGGACAAAGGAAAATCTGTTTATATACTTCATGTTACACGTTCCTTCAACAACATCTCGTAACCATCAGTGGACACTCCCCTCCCTGATGGTATCACCCTGTACCCCAAGTCAGTATATTATATCTATCAATCATTCTAAGATAAACACCATCAAGCTCCCCGACATACCAGAATCCAGACTCTGTGGCACCAATAATCACCTCTCTCACAAATCTAACCTTGTTCCTACTACACCATGAAAAGACATACAGTGGGGAAAAAAGTATTTAGTCAGCCACCAATTGTGCAAGTTCTCCCACTTAAAAAGATGAGAGAGGCCTGTAATTTTCATCATAGGTACACGTCAACTATGACAGACAAATTGAGAGAAAAAAATCCAGAAAATCACATTGTAGGATTTTTTATGAATTTATTTGCAAATTATGGTGGAAAATAAGTATTTGGTCACCTACAAACAAGCAAGAGTTCTGTCTCTCACAGACCTGTAACTTCTTCTTTAAGAGGCTCCTCTGTCCTCCACTCGTTACCTGTATTAATGGCACCTGTTTTAACTTGTTATCAGTATAAAAGACACCTGTACACAACCTCAAACAGTCACACTCCAAACTCCACTATGGCCAATACCAAAGAGCTGTCAAAGGACACCAGAAACAAAATTGTAGACCTGCACCAGGCTGGGAAGACTGAATCTGCAATAGCTAAGCAGCTTGGTTTGAAGAAATCAACTGTGGGAGCAATTATTAGGAAATGGAAGACATACAAGACCACTGATAATCTCCCTCGATCTGGGGCTCCACGCAAGATCTCACCCCGTGGGGTCAAAATGATCACAAGAACGGTGAGCAAAAATCCCAGAACCACACGGGGGGACCTAGTGAATGACCTGCAGAGAGCTGGGACCAAAGTAACAAAGCCTACCATCAGTAACACACTACGCCGCCAGGGACTCAAATCCTGCAGTGCCTTCTGGATTTATTTTTCTCATTTTGTCTGTCATAGTTGACGTGTACCTATGATGACAATTACAGGCCTCTCTCATCTTTTTAAGTGGGAGAACTTGCACAATTGGTGGCTGACTAAATACTTTTTTTCCCCACTGTAAGTTGGTACTCGGCCCCCCAGGTGCACGTTTTGATTTGAAAAATACTTCCCATACCTATTTGTCCATGGTCAGTTGTGCACCGGGGCCTCCCACTCCTCTTTCTATTCTGGTTAGAGACAGTTTTCATTTTTCTGTGAAGGGAGCAGTACACAGCGTTGTACAAGATCTTCAGTTTCTTGGCAATTTCTCGAATAGAATAGCCTTCATTTCTCAGGACAAGAATAGACTGACGGGTTTCAGAAGAAAGTTATTTGTTTCTGGCCATTTTGAGCCTGTAATCAAACCCACAATTGCTGATGCTCCAGATACTCAACTAGTCTCAAGAAGGCCAGTTTTATTGCTTCTTTAATCAGCACAACAGTTTTCAGCTGTGCTAACATAATTGCAAAAGGGGTTTCTAATGATGAATTTGTGATACTCTGGCTCCATGGACTTTGATTATTTGAGCCAGGGTTGTTCATTTTCATTGTTTGGGTGTATTGCTATGTTGGGTATTCTAGTTGTTCATTTCTATGTTTGGGTATTGTGCTTGATTAGTCATATGACTCCCAATCGGAGGTAACGAGTGTCAGCTGTCGGCTCGTTATCTCTGATTGGGAGCCATATTTAAACTGTGTGGTTTCTCTTTGGTTTGTGGGTTTTTGTTCCATGTTTCTGTCAGTGTTACAGAGGACTTCACTATCGTCATTTGTTGTTTTTTCGTGGTTGCTTTATTTAATAAAGTCATCATGTTCACTCCACGCGCTGCGTATTGGTCCGCTTCTTCAGACGATCGTGACAGAAAAACCCACCATAGAAGGACCAAGCAGCGTGTCCAGGAGCAAGACAGCTGGACATTGGAGGAAGCGCCTGGTAAAGAGATCGAGAGGCTGGCGATGGCCCAGGTGTGCAAATCGTGGTCCTGGGAGGACATGCTCGGGGGCAAGGGACCTTGGGGGAAGATCAAGGCCCTGGCGAGAGAGGAGCAACGGCGTCAGCAGGGCCATCATCGTTGGAAGGACGAGAGGCAACCCCAAAAAGTTTTTGGGGGGGGGCACATGGCTTGGACGACGGGGCTAACGGAGGCAGAGAAGGGGCGAATTCAAGAGGCAACCAGGTTACGGGGGTCACTGGCCAAAGTAGGGAAAGGAGATGTAGAGGCACGGCGTGAGAGACTGAGGTGTGTATCCAGTCCGGTCCGGCCCGTTCCAGTTCCCGGGGTAGAGCCAGTGGTGTGTGCCTCCAGTACGGTCCGGCCTGTTACGACCCCTCGCACCAAGGATACGGTGCGCTTCGCCAGCCCGGCCCGGCCTGTTCCGGCCACTCGCACCAGGGATACGGTGCGCTTCGCCAGCCCAGCCCGGCCTGTTCCGGCCACTCGCACCAGGGATACGGTGCGCTTCGCCAGCCCAGCCCGGCCTGTTCCGGCCACTCGCACCAGGGATACGGTGCGCTTCGCCAGCCCAGCCCGGCCTGTTCCGGCCACTCGCACCAGGGATACGGTGCGCTTCGCCAGCCCGGCCCGGACTGTTCCGGCCACTCGCACCAGGGATACGGTGCGCGTCGCCAGCCCTTTCCCACCAGTGCCTACACCACGCCCCAAGCCTCCTGTGTGTCTCCCGAGTCCTGTGCGTCCTGTTGCTGCTCTCCGCACTAGGCTTAATGTGAGTCCCCAGGGTCCAGCATGCCCTGTTCCGGCTCTCCGCACTAGCCCTTATGTGCGTTCCCAGGGTCCAGCATGCCCTGTTGCTTCTCCCCGCACTAGCCCTGAGATGCGTGTCCTCAGCCCGGTACCTCCAGTTCCGGCACCATGCATCAGGCCAACGGTGCGTCCCCAGGGCCAAGCATGCCCTGTTGCTGCTTCCCGCACTAGCCCTGAGATGCGTGTCCTCAGCCCGGTACCTCCAGTTCCGGCACCACGCATCAGGCCTACGGTGCATCCCCAGGGTCCAGCATGCCCTGTTGCTTCTCCCCGCACTAGCCCTGAGATGCGTGTCCTCAGCCCGGTACCTCCTGTTCCGGCACCACGCACCAGGCCTACGATGCGCCTCAGACGGCCAGAGTCTGCCGTCTGCCCAACGGGGCCTGAACTGCCCGTCTGCCCAACGCCGTCTGAACTGCCCGTCTGCCCAACGCCGTCTGAACTGCCCGTCTGCCCAACGCCGTCTGAACTGTCCGTCTGCCAAGCGCCGCAGGAACTGCCCGTCTGTACTGAGCCTGCAAAGCCGCCCGTCTGCCATGAGCCTTCAGAGCCGTCCGCCAGACCGGAGCCGCTAGAGCTCTCCGCCAGACAGGAGCAGCCAGAGCCTTCCGCCAGACAGGATCAGCCAGAGCCTTCCGCCAGACAGGAGCAGCCAGAGCCTTCCGCCAGACAGGAGCAGCCAGAGCCTTCCGCCAGACAGGATCAGCCAGAGCCTTCCGCCAGACAGGATCAGCCAGAGCCTTCCGCCAGACAGGATCAGCCAGAGCCTTCCGCCAGACAGGATCAGCCAGAGCCTTCCGCCAGACAGGATCAGCCAGAGCCTTCCGCCAGACAGGATCAGCCAGAGCCTTCCGCCAGACAGGATCAGCCAGAGCCTTCCGCCAGCCAGGATCCGCCAGAGCCGTCCAGCCAGGATCCGCCAGAGCCGTCCAGCCAGGATCCGCCAGAGCCGGCCAGCCAGGATCCGCCATTCAGTCCGGTAATGCCCCTTAGTCAGGTACTGTCCCTTAGTCCGGTGCTGCCCCTTAGTCCGGTGCTGCCCCTTAGTCCGGTGCCGCCCCTTAATCCAGTGGGGTTTAATTGGGGGGTGGTCAGGTGGAGGGGGCTACGGAAGCGGATAGTGACTAAGGTGGGGTGGGGACCACGACCTGGGCCAGAGCCGCCACCATGGACAGACGCCCACCCAGACCCTCCCCTAGACTGTAGGCTGGTGCGCCCGGAGTTCGCACCTTTAGGGGGGGGTACTGTGATACTCTGGCTCCATGGACTTTGATTATTTGAGCCAGGGTTGTTCATTTTCATTGTTTGGGTGTATTGCTATGTTGGGTATTCTAGTTGTTCATTTCTATGTTTGGGTATTGTGCTTGATTAGTCATATGACTCCCAATCGGAGGTAACGAGTGTCAGCTGTCGGCTCGTTATCTCTGATTGGGAGCCATATTTAAACTGTGTGGTTTCTCTTTGGTTTGTGGGTTTTTGTTCCATGTTTCTGTCAGTGTTACAGAGGACTTCACTATCGTCATTTGTTGTTTTTTCGTGGTTGCTTTATTTAATAAAGTCATCATGTTCACTCCACGCGCTGCGTATTGGTCCGCTTCTTCAGACGATCGTGACAGAATTAGCTTTTTAAAATTATGAACTTAGATTAGCAAACACAACGTCCCATTGGAACACAGGACTGATGGTTGTTGATAATGGGCCTCTGTACGCCTATGTAGATATTCCATTAAAAATCTGCCATTTCCAGCTACAATAGCCATTTACAACATTAACAATGTCTACACTGTATTTCTGATCAATTTTATGTTATTTTAATGGACAACAAAATTGCTTTTCTTTCGAAGACAAGGACATTTCTAAATGACCCCAAACTTTTGAACGGTAGTTGTTATGATGTTTTCATAGTGCGATGGGAAACAGATTGAGTTTAGTAGAAAGTGACTGGGCGCCTCACAGTCTGAGGTGCCATGCATTCCATTATGTCAAAGGAGATTACTGATGTTTGATTGATGGACAGGATATACTGACATGGGGTGCATGGTAGTAACATCAAACAAGGGAGTGCCCACTGAGGGTTGCCAGATGTGGTTGAAGAAACGTGTAACAGAGGGTATATAAGTGAGATGGTCTCTTTGTTCAAATCAGTTCGAAATAGCAAGAGGCAAAGCTCTGTCTTTGGTATATCGAACCCGTTACAGACTATTAAAATCTTTGTATTAACTTTCCACAAAGTGTCTAAGTATATTCTTACATCCTTAATTACTTGATACCCGAGAAACTCATAACAGTAGTGTATGTGTGATTTGGTTGGAACATGTTCTAGCCATGCTCTGAGTATATTCTGAGGCAGTGTTCCCAGGATCCTGTGTACGGTGAAAAATAGACTTATGAACTGAAAAGTCGCCTTACTGATCCTTCATCTCCACTTGGAAAGCCAGTAGCTGGGGGACGGCTATTTCCCACAGTGCTAATGTAAATATTTCTCACCTGCTTGCTTATGTTTGCCTCTTAGGTTCCTCTCCGAATGCAAGCCCCCCTCACAGTAACCATCCAGGTTCCTCTCCGAATGCAAGCCCCCCTCACAGTAACCATCCAGCTTCCTCTCAGAATGTAAGCCCCCTTCCTGGTCGCCATTCATCCTCCAGCCAATCGAGAAGAGTTGAGCCAACAGCCAGGCACCATAGCTCTCCCATGAACGAATGGAATGAGCGGTGTTCAGGAGACAGATGTGATTCGTAAGCCAATCAGTCGGCCCTGACAGGATACACCAGACAACACAGTAGTTGATGGCGACTGGCAAAGACAATACTTTTACCTCATTTTTAAAACTTGAAACAACTACTTACAGTGCCTATAAAGCCATATTTAGGCTACATTATGCAGTTTACTTTTCTACATGTTTTTAAATGAATACATTTCTCTCTCTATAATATGTTTGGTTAGCTGTGGTTGAAACAGTCAGAAGTGTGTTTTATATACTATGTATATGTGTTTATTGTAACTCTTGACATCTAAGGGTGATTGGTGTTTGGTTACCCGTATTCCTATAGTATTGTTTGCCTACATTGTTAGGGCATCATAGTGATTGAATCATCATAGTGATGGTATTGGATTTTGTTTGTTTCTAGTATTTGTATTGTCTATTTATATTGCAGCCAGAACCAAAGCTAAAGGGGAGAAACCAGACTGAACTTATTGTTTAACGAGATTCTGCTGTCCCATACACAAAAAATGTGTCAATTGTAACAGGTGTTTTTTTTAACACTGGTGGTAAAGTGGGTAAATGTATCATGGCTATCCAACAACAAATTATGTTTGAAAGTCATTGTCACTTCGTTTGATGTGGTTCCTTGCAATGGGTTTAGTTATCTGTGGCCATAGATGATGTTTGTAGTTAAATTCACTGATACTGCTAATATTTCGGGTATTGAGGAATGTATGTACTTCACAGGTCACTGGTTTTATACTACGTCTTAAAAATTGGTCGAAATGCCAAGTTCTGTTTTTAATATCTGTTCGTTTTTGTCAGTTTTGATGCTGTATTTTTACCTCTGTTTACTGTATTGTTACGGCACTGAACTAACATAAATACAGAAAATAAATGTTTGTTGTTACTAATCCTCTCAGACTACACAGCATCCAATGAAGATAATTGTAGTATTATTTACCCCCTCCACCAGGCAGACCACATTTGAGACACACAGTTACACCACCAGAGGGAAGCAAAGTACTATGTTAATGTTCCTTTCATTTCAGTCACTCACTTGTGCAAGGCTTCTGGGTCCTCCTTTGTGTTGAGACTTGAGAGACTCCACATAGGTGAATGGATAAGAACAGATAAGAGGGGAATCTTCAGTCATATTTTCTGTTTCTACACAACTCATTGTATATTAATTGGAGAAAGCCAAGCAGAAACTTTTTCCTTCAAGGACAAGAGTGGTGGAAGCTTGTTGAGAATGTATAGTACAAGATCACTACTTACAAATGAGATTTCTATATCTCATCATGAGTTGAAAAGTCCTAACCTTACATACTTGAGGTCAACTTGCTGTTTCTGTTATAGTTTTCCTCAACCTCAGTTTTTACTTGATAGGCTACAGGATTCTGTACATGACTGACCTTGCCTGGGGGATCAGAGGGTTAAAATCCAGCCGGTATTCAAGCAATCCATGAGAGAGAATTATGGAGTCAGCAATGTAATAGGAGCCTTTCTCCTCCATCCTCCTCCCATGTTCTTCCCTCTTATTCCTCGGTCTCAGCAAGGGGTCATAATATCACACTGTCCTCTGAATGCCTTTAAATGAGCTGTGTGTGTTTTGATCTCAGCAGCGCAGGTGTCAGAGGAGAGGCCCTTCCCAACACGGTGCTAAAACACTCATGGTCATTAACCTCACCTCACCAACCATTAACCTGAGGAAGTCCATTGTGTCTGTTGCATGGGATAGGAATATTGGGGAAATAACAGGCTAGATACAGTATGTTAGTCCCATCTCATGAGATAATGTCCATTTAAACATTTTAATTAACTGAATCAATTCAGAAGAAAATTAAACATAGCATGCAAAATATTGATTAACATGTAGACTACATACAGTGAGGGAAAAAAGTATTTGATCCACTGCTGATTTTGTACGTTTGCCCACTGACAAAGAAATGATCCGTTTATAATTTTAATGGTAGGTTTATTTCAACAGTGAGAGACAGAATAACAACAAACAAATCAAGAAAAACGCATGTCAAAAATGTTATAAATTGATTTGCATTTTAATGAGGGAAATAAGTATTTTACCCCCTCTCAATCAGAAAGATTTCTGGCTCCCAGGTGTCTTTTATACAGGTAATGAGCTGAGATTAGGAGCACACTCTTAAAGGGAGTGCTCCTAATCTCAGTTTGTTACCTGTATAAAAGACACCTGTCCACAGAAGCAATCAATCAGATTCCAAACTCTCCACCATGGCCAAGACCAAAGAGCTCTCCAAGGATGTCAGGGACAAGATTGTAGACCTACACAAGGCTGGAATGGGCTACAAGACCATCGACAAGCAGCTTGGTGAGAAGGTGACAACAGTTGGTGTGATTATTCGCAAATGGAAGAAACACAAAATAACTGTCAATCTGCCTCGGCCTGGGGCTCCATGCAAGATCTCACCTCGTGGAGTTGCAATGATCATGAGAACGGTGAGGAATCAGCCCAGAACTACACGGGAGGATCTTGTCAATGATCTCAAGGCAGCTGGGACCATAGTCACCAAGAAAACAATTGGTAACACACTACGCCGTGAAGGACTGAAATCCTGCAGCGCCCACAAGGTCCCCCTGCTCAAGAAAGCACATATACATGCCCGTCTGAAGTAAGCCAATGAACATCTGAATGATTCAGAGGAGAACTGGGTGAAAGTGTTGTGGTCATATGAGACCAAAATGGAGCTCTTTGGCATCAACTCAACTCGCCGTGTTTGGAGGAGGAGGAATGCTGCCTATGACCCCAAGAACACCATCACCACCGTCAAACATGGAGGTGAAAACATTATGCTTTGGGGGTGTTTTTCTGCTAAGGGGACAGGACAACTTCACTGCATCAAAGGGACGATGGACGGGGCCATGAACCATCAAATCTTGGGTGAGAACCTCCTTCCCTCAGCCAGGGCATTGAAAATGGGTCGTGGATGGGTATTCCAGCATGACAATGACCCAAAACACACGGCCAAGGCAACAAAGGAGTGGCTCAAGAAGAAGCACATTTAAGGTCCTGGAGTGGCCTAGCCAGTCTCCAGACCTTAATCCCATAGAAGATATGTGGAGGGAGCTGAAGGTTTGAGTTGCCAAACGTCAGCTTCGAAACCTTAATGACTTGGAGAAGATCTGCAAAGAGGAGTGGAACAAAATCCCTCCTGAGATGTGTGCAAACCTGGTGGCCAACTACAAGAAACGTCTGACCTCTGTGATTGCCAACATGGGTTTTGCCACCAAGTACTAAGCCATATTTTGCAGAGGGGTCAAATACTTATTTCCCTCATTAAAATGCTAATCAATTTATAACATTTTTGACATGCGTTTTTCTGGATATTTTTGTTGTTATTCTGTCTCTCACTGTTCAAATAAACCTACCATTAAAATTATAGACTGATCATTTCTTTGTCAGTGGGCAAACGTACAAAATCAGCAGGGGATCAAATACTTTTTTCCCTCACTGCACATTATTCACCCAATTTACCTAACTTATGCATCAGATTTTATTTGAATGTCCCGCCCTGCAACGCGCAAGGCATGGAATCAAACACACACACCCACACACACCGAGCTCGCGCTTCCCACTCGGTTTGATTCTCTATTGTCAGTGCGACCAAGAGCTGACAACCAGCAAGTTTTCTCTTCGACAGGACACAGGGCGCCCTGCCGCTTCGCACACTACTTTGTGATATGCGGAATAGACACCGAAACTGGGCTAGAACCAGACAAATTAGATTACTTACTTATTTATTTATTTAAATTAACCTTTTCCCTATTAGGTTTTTTAACTAGGCAAGTCAGTTAAGAACAAATTCTTATTTACAATGACGGCCTACACCGGCCAAACCCGGACAACGCTGGGCCAATTGTGCGCCGCCCTATGGGACTCCCAATCACTGCCAGTTGTGATACAGCCTGGAATTGAACCAGGGGGTCTGTAGTGACACCTCAAGCACTGAGATGCAGTGCCTTAGACCGCTGCGTCACTCGGGAGCCCGAGTGGTAACTATACAAACTAATACACATGAATCTTAGTGACACTATCACTGCATATCATTTATTTGGAACATATTTTACAGTCTCTTAAGGTGATAAATGATGTGCTGTTTAAAAACAACAACATAAGGACAATGGCTACAGTTGTAGCCTGACATCACCTTGTTTACATTCTTGTAGTTTCTGATAAACTGGGTTAAAGATATTGGGGACATTTCTTCACTTGTTTGTCAGACCTGTCCTTGCTGATTGTGTGGACTAAAGAGACAGCGAGAAAGCAATGGCTATAATGTCATTATTTCAAAGATAAAACAAAAACTCCAACACTTCTTATGAGGCTGGTGTTTCAGTGCAGCATGTCATAGAAATATTTTACTCAAAAGTAGTCAACTCAAAAATCTCTCTCAAGAAACTGGAGCTTGTGAATCCAAAAATTAGACTTTATTATTTGCGTAACAAAGCCGAGCCACCCCATGGAATGGCTGTCTCTCTTTGGCTTAGAGCTCCCTTTTATACACAAATGCATAATCATGTTACATAGCATATACAGTCACTCCCCTTAGGCCAAATGATTAACTTATTTTAGTGCCACTCTACCCTTATCTTTCAACATCCAGATGTCACATGTGGTTTACTCCAAAAGGCCATGGGCGCTTTTCCATATGAGGCCTCTCTCTCATATCTCATTATATTGGTGGCAGACCCCCTCTTAAAAATAATACACATACATACATTAAGGCATGGTTACACACTGTATTGGCTATTTCCTTATTTAAACATGCATCTGGATTATAAAATGTCAATCACGTTTACTATATTTTACCTTTGACATTTCCCAACATTTTGCCTTTGGGACTTCCAACAAAGTCCCAATAATACAAAGATTTACTTTAAAAGGAATGTAAGCCTGTGCATTTACTTATTCTTAGCCTTGCCATATGTGGTTACTTTTTATATGCATATATTTAAACCAATATATATTCCTCATTGTTTGACCCATCCTGATGAGGACCCAGAGCCCAGTCAGGTATTGGTTACAAGTCTGGAAGGTTTTCCTCTAAATTAACCTCCACATTTTTCTATTGGGCTTTGTAACCATGGCAAGCCCATCCATTCCCAGGAACAACTCCATACAAACATTCAGAATTCCCAAATGGACAGTACATTGGTCCTCCTTTAACATTTCCAAAATGTCCCATATTCATTTACCTACTGTCCTGGAGCTCCCTTAACTGGGTGTATTTCTTTGGCTGAACTAGTAACAATGATCTGTACAGTCATTTGTTTTACTGTGGTTTGGATCAACAAATGATTTTAACAGAGGTAGTATACAGCAAAATACCATTCCCATTACTACAAGTGCTACGCCTATCATGATTGCCATCTTTGTAAACATTGCTCCCCACTTCTGTTTAGTTATAGCATTTCCCATATATGTATTAGTATCCTAACACATCAAAATATGCAACTCTATCTTAACAATAATATCTAGGACATGTTAAGAATGGTGTCAACATCTTTAGCTTACATAACATTTTTTACCCATATCACAAGTAGTATAACGATCAAAATAATCAATATCAATATCTAATCCATTAATTGCAATGTCAACATCATTAGACATTAATATGTATAACTTATTCAGATCAATCAATCCACTTATAATTCATAATCAAATTAATTACCCAAAACAACTTTAGAATGACAATTCTTAATTAGTCTCCTTGGTTCCATCATTCAAAGTTAAAACTCTCACCTTGGCACATACTGACACTGGCGGAATGTATATTTATATTATCATAATTCTAGCATTAACTTCCTCATAACGAGAATTACAACAGATCAGTATCTCAATGCATTCCTAGTCTAAATTACTATACATTTAGCAGTGTATAATACGTCCTTAATCAACATACTACCTCAACTAACACTCCCTTCCTCTACCGGCACTCAATCTTCTGCCGTCTTCATTATGTTCTTCAGATAGCTTCATAGTTCATCTTGGATTGCCCATGGCAATGTCCCAATTCCAATGTCACACCTGAACCACCTCACCTCTACCCCCATTCTGTTTTGTCCATTTGCCAACCAGTATACCCAAACTACGAAGAACGTTGCATTGGCATAGACCTCTCTCTTCCTGCTCACTCCACATGGACTCCTGTCACATTCTTGAGAGAAAAGGCACAAAAGAGAAGGCAATTGATTGCTTTGATTTGATGCTGGATTCAGGTCTCCTGGCAGAGGTGGTGTCGGACAGGAACGTCTTCAACGCCTTTGTTGTTCCTCTTCAGCCGGGTAGAGGGTTTTTGGTTTTTATTGAGGTTTACACCGTTCTGGACCGAATTATCTCTGCTATGCATTACGACACCATCCGTAGTAACCTCAGGAAAGGACAGATCATAACAGTTTAGTTGAGTTAATTTCCAATCCAAAACATCCCTATTAACATTGTCTACATGACAAATCATTATGTTTCATCACTCATTCTTAATACCCATTTCTATCTAATGCCTGATAGATTTTCCTTTGAGGGGTCCCTGTATTCCAAAGGCTATCTGTTTAAACACCCCCTAGTTTCACATTCTCCCTTGAATTCTCCCAAATTATATAACCCAATTGTTTTACTGTAACATTCCTATA